GGACATACAGAGAGCCATTATTGCCCTGTAATTTAAAATGAATGCGTAAGCTGAGGCGGCATGCTTTCCAGGCTAGACTGTTTTGCTTTGTGTATTTAATCAACAAATTGGTTTCCAGGTTTTTTCTGTCCTATGAACAGGAAAAGTTTAGAGATTTCAGTCGTCTTACTATATTTCCCTAGCTGCATATCCTCTGTTGCTTTTTCCCCAAAATCGTAAGCTCAGTCTAACCTGCGATGCAGCGATCGGCTGCTGGTACTGGTCAGGGCGTCACGACTGAGAGAAATGCTCAGGATCAGTGCAGTGCGGCATTCCATTGTGGAGATAATGAACAGCAGGTGAGGGATCACAGACGGTTGGTTTTCATTGTACACTCTCCGCAGCTTTGCAAACAGCTATCACATCTTTAGATGGGTATAAACGAGGCCCCCATTATCTTTGAGATTACTGAGATGAAGATCCGAGTTGGTCATGGATGGATGTTGAACAAGTGCCTCCATACAGGTTTTTTTTTTTGACTCAACATTCCATATTGCAATTGTATGTCATGTTTACACACACAGTCTCTGTACGAGTGTCAGATTATGTAATGATGGTACCGCCCACGATTCTGTGTGTGACCCGCCTTTGACGCCAGGCCACAGCGAATAGTCTGAAGGGTACAGTCCACTTATTCAAGCCCCATTGAAAACAGTGTAAAATCAGCACTGTTCAGGGCCCAATAGCATGCAAGCCAACATCCCTGAGATTTCTGAAACACAAATGAAATACTTGTCTGGTCACTTATCTTTCAATTTCTTTTCATTTTTTTGTGGGTAAACCAATNCACTTAGGACCATTTTTAAACTGTAGTTTTTAGCCCTTCTGCTCTCATATGAAAGCTCAAAGACCCAGGGAGTCGATCCCGGCAACAATTTACACAATCTCACCATTTTGGGGGCCAAACAATCTCCTTTTTCAAAAGATACTGTGGGGGGCACTTTTAATGCTAATGAGCTGGCCAGAAATTCTCACTTGAATTAGTAGTCTGCACCCTGAATATTCTCGTTGTTGTACGTGAGGGAAATTTCATGTAAGCTGACGATATTTCCAGTTATGTTTCGGAAGTTTCTTGTAAGATTAAGTAATGCTACAAAGTGTATTCTAAGAACGGACTGTAGACTATAAAAACAGGAAAAACAGAGAGATACACACACCGCAAGAGAGATTTTGGAGGCCATTCTATCGTATACAGGCTGTGAGAAGTCGTTGACTTGTTGACTTCTGCACTATTTCAACCTGTGGTGGCGAGTCATCTGTGGAACAACACTTGTAAGAAAAGTTCGTCCAGACCATGTGAAGCGCAGAGCTGAATCAAGTTCCGGAAAAGCCAGTTCGTGAACTGAATCTAGTTCCAGTTTGTGGGATCCTTTTATTCCTTCATGTTGGGATCACCAAATTCCTGTATTTGCCACGGTCATCGCGCCCTCGTCGTTTTGTCTCGAGCCCGGTCATTCTTATTGGACGTGGTATTTGTCCCCGTTGCAGCTTGTTTTTTCGCACCGCGAAGGACTGAACTGTTTTTCGCCATGTGGAATCCAGCGTTTTTCACTGTAGTGCCTTGGCAAGTTCTTGCCCGTAAGAACACCTTGTTTATGAGCTATTCCTTATCACTGTAAACTAGTTCCAATCAACATTTTCTTCGTTACTATTTTCCTTACATGCCAAGTGTAACATTCTCATCAAATCATATTTGTTTATTTGTTCCTTGTATCAGTGTGATCTTGTTTGACTTCTTTGTTGCATCGGAGAAAATTCAAGCTTCAGAATAATTAAATATTTTGGATTTTTTTCGGATCGTAACACAATGTTTATGTTAAATTATACACAAGGTCAGTAAATGAAAGATTTTTTACAAGAGTGAAAATTAAACGAGACCATCATAAGACATTGAAAAGGGAGGGGGCAAAGTACGGAGGCATATTAAGAAGACAAAGTCTTATACAGAAATGCTTAATTTAGACAAGAAAAAAGAACCAGACAAGGAAGACTGATAACAGATTATACATGAAAGACAATTATGGTACAATACAGTAAAACAAAACAAGGACAAAACAAAACAAAGATGAACCAACAGACCAAGATGTAACAAAAACTGGAATTACCAAACACTAGAAACGTTAGAAGAACAAAAGGGTTAATTAGAATGATAAAAGAGAAGGAGCTACCTCAGATAATCAGAAACTAGGTGTTTTGTGTAGCTGTTCTTAAAGCATCCTAATGACTGTGACTTAATATTATCATCAATACTATATTCCAAAGACGGGGTCCGTAGAATCTCAATGCATTCAGGGAATAGGATGTGCGTACAAAAGGCAGAAACAAATTGAGAAGTGCTCTAGTGTTGTGGCTGTGAACAGAATGAACCGCGGCAAAGTAAGAAGAAAAAAACTGAAGGAAGTAGGTTGTTAATTTACATGCTTATACATGAAAATCCGTGTGAAGTTTGTTTATATCAGATAAAGTTGATGTGTGAAGAAAAACAAAGAGAAGGGGTGTATGATCCCAACGCAAAGGACATTTGATTATGTTCAGCAGTTTAGCCTGCAATGTAAGAGACCACGTTGCAGTTGAAGGTTCCTAGAAATTAGAATGGACGATGGCGTGCATCGATTGTGGAGACGTTGTGTCAGTGCCGATGTTAAGAGTCGTTTATCCCGTTGACTATTTGCACTGGTGTTGGACGATGGACTAATGTGACACATCGGAATTCTGTAGGCTCGTCTGGTTCAAGATAGGGAAGATTACAAGATTTTTTGGTACTTAAACAGTACATGACATATTAAGTAAAATATCATTTGTTGATCGTGACTTCGAAGGCTTAAATCTTCCTCAATTCTGGGCCTGTGTATTTTGGAGATACGCTCATCTCGTATATGCATACCGAACGCTCATGTTGTGTAGGCATACCGAACCAAGCATACCTGTCTTAGCTGAACTGTGTGACGGAGGGGTTATTGACGAATCCTCCTCTGTCTCTATAATAGCACCGAAAAATAATTTGATGTAATCTTGACAGAATGTATAGGTCAAAAGGTACCTAAAAATAAAGATGATTGGATTTATTGCTTAACTTAGTCGTCAAACTCAGACATATTGAATCATATCTCTTTAGCGAATGTGTAAACGTTTCACCACAGTGACTGGTACCACATTATGTACCGGTATGTGAACAGTGCATGAATTCTATATGCCGTATTTGAGGAGAAAGACCTGAGCTGATGAAAATAAGTCCCAAAAAACAGCGAAGTCCAGCTAATTCTTCAAATGTCCTTGTCGTATCTGAGTCTGGGTGATGGGCCACCAGAGAGGTCTGAGAACATGCCAACGATTGATTGGATGTTCACAAGGAAGCCAATCACTGTTGTTTTACGATGGGTGTACATTAAAGGAACGCCATCATCCCTAAAGTTCATTAAGCAGCCGTTAGCTCTCTCCGTGAAAGGTTGTCTCAGATGTCTGTTGTTGAATCCCTTTGCAAAGAGATTCTTCATGTTGCAGACATCGAACAATCTGAAAGCAGATGATGCATTGATACCACTGACAATTTTCTCTTTTAAATAGCTCCTCACTTCACATGGATAGAACATGACCCAAGTTGTTCCAATGGTGATAACCGTGCTGTCGAGACAAGATTTTCCAAGCTTTGCTCAAGCCAGTACAAGAAGTCAAGATGAAGTTCCCGTGTGTTGCATGTTCCAAGGCTGCCCGGAGCAACCAGAAGGCACTGCAGTGCGACGATTGCAACGGATGGCAACATCTCGCCAGTGGAACGGGGTTCTCGGCTGAAGATTACAAGCAGTTCAATGATGACTCCTCAGAGCTCACATCGTGGCATTGCGCCTTGTGTTCCATTTCTTTTACTGATTCTCCAGTTCCAGTGGGAGAAAGTGCCAGAGTATCTGCTCAAGAACTTTCCCCTGCTGGAATGGTAGATGATGTGAGGGAAGTGGACGAGCATGCCCCCCTGAAGCAATGTGGAGTCTGACGTGCCGCTTGACGTCTCGGCTAGTTTTGAGATACCCCAGCCACCGGAAGAGGAGAGCATCGGTGATGCACGTGTCCCTCAAGATCTGACCACGAGTTGATAATAATCACGTACAAGATTTTGCAGAACAGAACCCTGCGAAGGAAGCCAATTTTGGTTGATAACCGGGGGTACAAATACACCAAGAGATGGCAGCGAAACCCGTCTTCCATCAAGTGCACTTGGGTATGCAGTGTTCGTGGCAAGTGTCAACGATGCCCAGTGTCAGTCCTGCAGCATGGAGATGTCTTCCAGCCTGGCTCGTCCGCCCAACATTCTCACCCAGCGGATTCCGACGCAGCTGTTGCTGTCGAGTTTGCGTCAGCAGTAAAAGCCAAGTCGAAGCAGGATGTGTTCAGATCTGCTGGTGCTATTGTGGAGGAAGTGATGACAAGCCTAGCACCTGACGTCCAACCAGCAAGCTTCCCCAAGCTGGCCAACTTGGTGCTGGTTGCCAACCGAACCCGCCAAGCTCTTCGTCCACACGAACCCACCGATCTCAAGTTTCCCCTGGCTACTGATTTCGTACCTGCTAATTTCCTGGTGAAGGATGTCATCATCGGCGTTGAACGACACCTGCTCTTCATGTCACCGGAGCAAACCACGATCCTCGACCAAGCCAAGACCTGGTACCTTGACGGTACGTTCAAGGTTGTGCACAAGCCTTTTTACCCAACTCCTGAGTATCCATGCCTTTGTCAACTTGGAGCACGGGCAGCAGAAGCAAGTTCCCCTGGCATTGTATCTGATGTCTCGCCGCACCAAGGACTACCGCAAAGTTCTTCGGGCTGTGAAGAAGAATCTGCCCTCAAGAGGTAGCCATGTCCAGAACTTTGTTGTGGATTTTGAAGCAGGATTGTGGTCTGCACTTCGAGCCATCTTCCCCGATCGTCAGATCAAAGGTTGTTTGGATCACTGGTCGCAGGCGCTTTGGAGAAAGTGCCAAAGCATCGGGTTAGCTGTACCATACACATCGGAGCTTGCCGTACATACAACGCATCATCCGCAAGCTGATGGCCTTGCCGTTCCTCCAACATGAACATGTACAGCAAGCTTTCATTAAGCAGCAGAGCCAAGTAACAGAACCCCTCCTAGTATGTCAGCTCTTCAATTACGTTGAAGAAACCTGGATCGAGAGTAGTGTCTGGCCACCTCGGGATTAGTCTATCTTCAGCCAAAGTGTGCGCACCAACAACGATGTGGAAAGTTAGCATCCTGATCTCAATCCCTTTAATTCAATAATATTCATGTAACACTGCGGGCAACTCCACGTGACCGGATGCAGACCTCCCAACTGAACGCTGTAAGTAACCGTGTGAACGATGACATCATGCAAACAGTAACGAAGTCAAAGTTTATGTCACACAGGAAGTGAACGTTTAACAACTTCTACTTTCGTGCGCACATATCTTTTTTTCTCTAGAAATGAACCGGGCACTTAAACACCTCTATCGACATCATCAATCTCAGGCTTCATTGGGAAATACAATAGGCCCCATGCATTGATTCGCATCTGCCATTAGCTCCGGAGAGGAGGATCAAGTTTTGAGGCGAAAAAATACCAACTCGTGGAAACAGAAGGGAAAATCGATATTAAATTTTGGCTTCATGTCATACGCATATGTATACCAAAGCAATTGTAATTAAGTACAGCAACGACAAAATCACCATCCTGGGACTTGCAAACACGACCAAATTCCACCTCACCCTTAAAATACGACAGGAAGGCGCAGACTGGTCAGCTAATCAACAATGAGTGTACAATCATATCCCTGTGTATATGAACTACTTCGCGAAACACTTGCTGAACACACTTGCACCGTTTTAGTGCACGTTTCTCTCGCTGGCACTTTATGAGCACCTTTTGTGCGAGACCGATTGATCGTAAAAAGCCAGATAACCCCCTTCAGGTGGCAGAAGCCACACGCTCTTAAAGTAGTGGATTTAACCTCTCTTGTAAAAGCTGTTTTTTTCATGCACTTTATAATGGGCTACCTCTTGCAAACCCAACGACTACACGTGTACATGTAACGGAGCCTCTAGTAAGTCATCCTCATTAACACTTTCAAAGTCGTTTCAAGCCGTTTGACAGATTTCTTTATTTCTGGTTGACAAAAATTCGGCTTTAAACATCCTTTTTCTGGATGATTCACAATCTACTTTCTGCATCTCAAAAGCCGTTACAGAAACATTTACACCCGATTCCACTGTTTTTCAAGTAAAATTTTTACCAGGATTCAGACAGCACATCTTCAAAACCCCGATAATCTAACCGATCTGTTTTCATGGCAACTTGAGGTGTGTCAAATCTGAGGCCTTGGCACACTTATCCCAGGATAAGGGTGCAGTGCTTGCATTGCCTTGTAGTGGGTACAATGTCAGCGGTAAGTAATTAGATTGAACTGTGTCCTCACCAGCCTGATATACATCACGGCAACAACGTCTTGTCAAGAAAGACATGGACAACTGTAAATGTGTAAAAAGCGCACTTTTCAATTCATTACGACCTAAAAGAATACTTAATTATTTCATAAATTGGAGAATCTAAAGTTGCACAATGAGCGTCTAAGAAAACTTCATCACCTCAAACCCTTTACAGTAACATTGCATGTTACAAATACTATACTCAGTTTACATTTATTAACAAACCTGCTACAATACATGTATAAACATCTGTGCAGAAATTTTCGGAAAGGAAATGTTTTCCCCATATCATATGATATTCACATAAACAGAATCCATGCACTGTATGCAATTTCACCATTAATTAACTTATATTTGCGCAGAATTCACACACAAATAACTAAGCCTTTAAACTTGCATGTATCTGCAGTCGACACGATCAATTAAACTTACTGGTAATGAGCAGACAGAGATATAGATTTCTTAAAATAAAAACATGAGAAACTGGAGATTGCCAGAGTAAGCCAAAGACTGCTTTGATTTTATGCATCTATGATGGAACATATGATTGGAACATGGATATACCGATGAGAAGTAGAAGTCACAAAAACCCCATTTTCCTATCATGGTCTTCAACTATGGCGCTAATATAAAAACAAGTTCAATGTAAAAACAAACTGGAGATTTTATCGCATCAATGAAGATCACCTTTGTGGCCAGTTAACTTCTCACTTCAAATATAGACCTGTCCACCTACTTCTATATATTACGCCAAAAGTGTTTAACAGACTTCACATCCTGTTTGTCAATAGTACAATTTCTGTCAAATCTAAGTTAAAAATTCGAAATTTGAATTGAAAATTAAGAATGGGGCATATAAATGGCTACGGAAGTTCACAAAAAAGTCTTTAAAAAACTTCTGCATAGTAACATACAGCAGGATTAATGTTCTCCTTTTCATCAAAGTAGTGATAAGATTGTTGCCAACTTTAATCATCTTTATAAGGGCACTTTTTAAAATGGGAATGCCACTGGCTTCTCCTGTGAAGTGCAATTATTTCACTGAATACCTGTGGACACCGTGTAGGACCATGTGAGGGACCGCAAACCCTCCATGTAGCTTAGACAATAGGAATCAATGGGAGTCAATATCAATACACAACCACACTTTATAATAAAGTGATCTACGTACATCAAGAAGTTTGGGTAGGGAACAAAAGCAACAATTTACACAAGCTCTCATGTTATTTTTTTCTTTTTGTTCCATTTGAGCATTTCTGAACTATTCCTGATTTGTCAAGGTTGTCCCACTGCCTTCTCTCAAAGTTTGGCCTTGACAGCTATATCCTTAGGGATGATTCCTTGCAACTTGAAGGCAAGGGACATGTTACCAGTAATCTTGAGTTTACCTCTGAGAAATGCCTGAAAGAGACACAGAAAGAAACACTAATTTTAAAAGGAGCAAGACAGTTCTGTATTTTGATAAAACTCAATTCCAATATTACAGGTGTACAGTTATGGGCGTATCCCAATGTGATCTTAGTAGTTGAAGTGATGGTAAAAGCAACATTAACATGGAATTGTACATGTATTCATGTAAATGATGACCAACAAGCTAACATTAACTGAACATAAGGTTAGGACCAAACAAATCTTTTAGGAAAATACCAGAAACTTATCAATTGTAACATATCCAAATGAAGATAATTTGATATTCATTCACAGCTGAGAACTGTTATATATACAATGATCAACTTATCAGAACATGCCTCTAATTGGCAGGAGCTCTTAGCGTCAAAAAAGCAATGTCGTGCTTTAAGACTCACTATGTTGAAAATCTCAGAAAAGGTCAAAAATGATGCAAGGATCAAATTTAGGGCGGGAGACAAATTCTAGCTGGCCATTAATTAAGCCTAATTAACAAATTAAGGCCTTAATTAGGGTAGAATTGTAACTTCTGAACCACAGGTCCTAGAACAATGGGACCAAGACTAGATTGTTCGCCTTTTCAATACAAACAACTTTTATGTACCGTCCAAACTTCTCAGGCCTTGAACTTGGCATGATCGAATCCCCAGTTTACAACAGTCAAATGTGTGAAGAAGAGCAGGTAAACCATGGTCCATGAGATTATTACATGTTCATGCATAATGGCATTGTACATAACCAAGGACACATAGTAAAAAGGATACAGACTACATTGTAACCTGTTTGTAACCAAGACCTGTTGGTTCTTGTCAAGTTGTCTGTGATGCACAATGAAGGAACACTAACCAATGTGTATGTCATACATGAATTTATGACTGTCATATTTCAGAATTGGAATTGAAAGAAAAGCTGACATTGTATTCATGCCAGCTGCCCTCGTGTTTATTTTAGACAGGAACAACACAGTTTAAGCTATTCAATCTACAATGTATTAAACATATTTTGGTCCTTGATTACATACATGTATCCATTTCATTTAGACACGATTATTCAATGACCACTATAGATCCATTTTGGTTTATACACTGATACAAGTTTACTAATGCGTATAATATAGCATTCCCAGAGCATTGCTGTCAAAGATCCCTCCTCACTCTGTTTCCTATGTGCAACCCAGGTGATGGCTACACATTCAAATAAAGTAAGAGTATGTTTTATTAATTGTTTATTAAACTTATGTACATGGTCATCACAAATCTTAGTGAGGAATCTCACCGACTGTGGCTGGAGTTTTCCCATCATCATTTCAACCAAGTCAGAATCTTTCATGGTGAAAGTCACATCAACTTTTTCTGCAAGTTAAAATGAAACAAAATTAATACAATCAAAGGTAGCAATTGAATGTAATTATTTTATCATGTGCATACTTGCCAACATTGAAAAATCAGAAAACAGAACACCCATTTTATGAACCCTTAGCTTAACAAGCAAGTGCATGGCAGAAGCCGTTACGGATGATTTGTTATAGCGCTCCCAAAGGGACTGAATTGAATTGAGCATGATGTCCACACAGCGCTGTAACCAACTGGACTTGCAACATGTGTAACTCACATGTATGTACATGCACATACACACCTGTATACTTTACCTGTATACAGTATGTGTGTGCATTATGGGTATGTACTGGTAGATGTACTTGTGTGGAAGTGTTGTATAGTTTACATGCGTTGATCGGAAATATGGCATTTAGCATTATTCATTTGTTTTCTTGCAAATATGAGATACAAGGTCTAAATTACCATACAAACTTACATGTACATTGTACTGATACGTGAAAGTGTAATTGTCAAATAAAACGGTCAAGTAAATTACGAAGTATAATTTGTGGAGTTAGTTTTTAATTCTACGGCTATTATTACATTTATTTCCTTGGCTGATAATACTTGAGCACTTTACATTTCATCTTCTACTTGTGGTTAAGAAAACATCTCTCTTGGTGGTACATGCATAACAATTAATATCCAGATGGAAATTCTCATTGTTTATACTTGTATGAAAATCCAAAATCAGGAAAACCTGCCAACCCTACCCCCTCTCTGCACATACTGGTGCCACAAGTACACACGTTGTCATAAGCCTTTTTGCATTGTATTTGCAATCTCAACATAGTAAACGTGTGCTTGCGATTGGGCTGGGTGGATGTGAGCTTCTAGCTTTCATTCAAGGCTGTAACCAGTGCAGCAAGCTCACAGCATGGCTGAGAAGTGCAAAACCAGTACTTTTTACAAGATGGTAAATCAGAATTAAAATGAAACACATGTACGACTGTATAACATTTGTGATGGAAGCAAGTTACTGGCCACTTCTGGTTACAGTGGGGGTGATTTTTGCTATGATGAACTAAAGCTGTGTGTTCAACATTCACGTAATCCCTATTAAGTATGACACATGCGTATTAAAAAGAAAGAATTGAAATCAAACCACGAACAGCCAGGAGTTTCGCTAATAGCTTAGCAGACGTGCACTGTAGTAAGGTTGTATGCTTACGTGTATGGGTATAACAGCATAACACACCTCTGCATGACATCTAGTCTATGGATGGTACCAGTATTCAGGGCCTATGTACGGATGGCCGAGTGTGTGTCTGCACTTTATTTCATCGCTTGTATTATAGTACTGATGTCCCAGAGGACGGCCAATCGCAGCAGCCTTGTAGTGATCACACACGAATTGTGCAGTTGATCAGCCTCTTATTATTAGCTGGTAACCAAGGCACTGAATATGCTCCATAAACCCAACGAGTCAGAGAACCACTTTAGTTTTTGATACCAAAAAATGTGCCAGTCATTTAAACTTTAGTTTCAAAATTACTTTTAAATTAAAGCAATATGAATTTCCTCAGTAATTCAGCAGAACTGTGGGTGAGGAATCGAACAAAAAAGTGGGAAGGATGTTTTCTGTTTGCACAAAAGCATTTCAAATATAAGTGTTTCTTTCATTCGAAAAAAAGGGAAATGTTGACAGGTTACAATAAAGTCGGCCAGTCAAATGTCACTTGTCGAAGTACTTAAACATTAAAAGCTCGACAATTCAAACCGCAGGGGAATGAAGTTATCTTACATGTAAAAAATTTTTTTATTAAAATAAACCACTTTATCGTGGTACCTTCATGTAGCAAAACTTTTGTATCGCTTATTTTTGTTTACAAGCTTCCCTATGTGTGGTCATATGACCTTTCCTTTTGTGGTCACACGATGATTGCTGCAGTGTCAATGATTGGACTGCCTGAAGGGGTCTACAATCGGGCTTGTGTTAGCAATCAGGTTAGCTTCAGCAGCTTGAAAGCCAGGATTGCAGTTTCAGGTAACGTTGGTTTATGCAAGGTGCATACAACTGGTCTCCATGAGAAAAAAAATGCACTTGGCAGTGATGACTCCTAACCCTATATAGACTTCCGATATTTTCAACGCCGTTTGAAGCATTTTGATGGTGTTTTTTTAAATCAGAAACTTCAAAATAAGTGGATATAATGGTGTGAACATTGTTCGAGTTATGGAGGTGTTTTTGTACATAAAGCCTTTTAACCTGTGACGTATCCGGTCCGCACGTGACATGATCACTGCTCAATATTCTGCGCGTGCATTCGGAGTGTATGTGGTCATGCAGCATCAGGGACATTTCCTTCAAGCGGTTGCTGGTGCGTTGGTGGTTTGCAGCTCTCGTCTGCTCTGATGTTTCTCATGAAAATTGTGTTTTATATACCCACAAAAAGACAATTTACAAACTGAATGACAGTTTCCTTTGATAAAAAGGAAGGAGAGATTAACCCCCACGTTTAGAACAATGTGCTGCTTGCCTCCTATGTACAAAAAAGAACCGTGTTTTGGGCACGAGGTTTACTGGGGTCACGCACCATGCCATTTGTTATTAAGTGATCTCTTTTCCGGGTACCTGGGTACCCAATGTTGAGAAAAAACGGGTACCCAATTCCAAAAATACCTGAAAATGCACACCCCGATGTTTTACTTCAGGAGCCCATTACTTATTTTTGACCTTCCAGGAACATGTCTCATTTAGCCTCAGCAGGTCACAAATAATGTTAAATCTCACAAAGCGTTATAAACGGAAGCACTATAAATACAGAAAAATGTATACAGTGAATGAGTGCACAGCTGGGGAAATGAAAAACATTTATATTGGCAAGAGCGTTGTATCAGGGAGCACTCTAACAGGAATCTACTGTACATGTACTGTACATGTACACACATGCATGTATGTGTAGCAACTACCAATTTGACAAACAGCATCCTCTTTTTCTGCAATAGCCCTCTCTTTTGCCAGGACTTTCTTCTGATTTTATTTCCTTTTCATGGAAATTAGAATGTTCTGTATTTTTTAGTCTGAAAACTGTAATCTGGACAGCTCAGATTACATCTAAATGGTTGGCAGGTACACACATGGCAATTATTTCAAGATAAAAACCATGCTATAAATCACTTGGAAATTGATTATTCACAACATTCCAACCCATGCCACTTTAAAAAAACTATAAAATAATTTCAACAAATAAATCTTGATAGTGCAAAATTGAACTTCCAGACAAATTTTCACAGGGAACTGCACATACATGATTTCCACTGGTAAGAACAAAAATAATCAGCAAAAAACAAGTGACAAAGTTACGTACCGTTACTGTGTGAGGTAGAAGTTTGGCTTTGGTTGACAAACACAGATGCTTACACTTACCCTGTACATCTCGCTTCACGCTGCCTGTTCCACTCTTAAGATCAACCACCCAGAATCCAGTTTTTCCTCCAGGTCCACCCGTAACTTTGAACCCAAACTTGGCTTTAGTCTTCTTCACAAGATCGCCACCACTCTACCAGTAATTGACAAAGACAATGCTTAATTTAACCCTCCTATGCAGAAGTCACTCTTAGGGTCACTTGGTAAACACCTCAAAGAAGCACAGCTGTGTTGTGTTGAGCACTGCACCAACATGCAAGAGAGTGACCTAGGGCACTTGTGCATATTTGTTCTGTAAAACCAAAGTAGGGTTAATGTAGTTTCTCCTCATGGCAGGAAATTTGTTGAAAGACGCTCGCTTCAAGTACGAGCAAAACAAACTCAAATTAAACTCACCAACACAGAAAATACACATAAATAAGAGACCAAGTTCTGTGAAGAAACTTACAGAAAACCTCTTGCAACATCGATTGCAACATTTCTTTGCAAGGGCGCGGCGGGAACCAGAGCAGCTTCGTTTAATGCATTGAGATGTGGGTGCGTGTTTTCACCACTGCGACAGCGAAACGTAAATGACAACTCGTGAAAATAACGGAAGTTTCTTTCCAAAAATTGCAAATGCAAGTACAAAACATACAAACACAAGCATTTTAACGTGAGAAAAAGTTATTGAAAGATATTTTGTGAAGACAGAAAAGAAATCAGCTTTTCTAGACTTGCCCGAACTGGCACACCTAGTTAGAATTTTAATTGCCCGAATGAAAATTTGTTTGCCCGGGCTATCGGGCAGGGGATTCGTCGTGGCCTGCCCTGTAGGAACCACGATGCATTTACATGTAGTCCAGCTACAGTGATAGGGCTAGTTCAAAAGCCACAAGTCCAGTGGACAGTCTGTGCACAGGCTACAACTGGGTTAGCGATAGTGATCAGGCAATCTTGTAGTTATGGCCTGGATATTGCAGCTTGTCTGCTCACAATGTTTGTGTAATGCCATATGTAATGTCATGTGTAATGCCATATCCCATCACGAAAAATCTCATTAAGATTTCGTTAATCACCAGGTAATTTTTGTTTGGGTCCCACTGCTTTTCCCTTATTTTTCTTCACTGTTCTTGTGCATTTCAAATTAATATTGCCGACGGAAAGCACAATCTCTTCTAAAAGTCAGCTCTACCATGAGACAAAGTAAGTAGTCTTGTCTTTTATTATTTTTTATTTTGGAAAAATGCAGTGAAAAACACAGAAAAAGTCCACAAATTCACCGGAAAATAAAGACTTGCGAAATAAACGAGTCAAAGTTTTCAGTATAGACTCTGTCGGTAACTTTGTACACCACAAAAATCGACGCGCGATCGCAAAATACGTCTTCATGAGAGTCTAGAGCAAGGCGAGTTCACTGGAATCTGTCTGCACATACTTGTATGTACACGTACTTCGTAGGTAGACTGTGACCAGTATGGGACTTAAAGGTGTTTCGAAATGAATTGGTTAGGCTTGGTTTTTGGTTTGGCTGGTTTCAGTCAGAGCCTCGCATGCAGTTTGGAATGCTGCAATAAATAGCTGGAATCAGCGAAGTCGACAACTAAGCCTAATTCACTTGTTTTGAAAATGCCCTGAGCTCAGGCTCGAGCACGTCTTTAAAGAATTCGCTCATGCAGCCATAGTCTGGTTCCCGATCACATTTTCATCGATACATTCAGACTTAGAAAACTGCAGGGGAGGAGGCGGGAAACAGTCTAGCACGGCCGATGTTTTCTGTCACTCTTGTTTTGTTTCATTAAAGCGCAAGTCAACAAACTTTCGTTTTTATCTATAGCGCATAACACTTGTAGGTTTTGAGAGTTGACATTTTGCACCTGATTTTATCTGTCAATTACTCATCAAAAGTAAATCCTCACTTTTGGCGGTTAACCACTTGCCAGCGGTTATACACTTGCCGCCGGGGACTCCAGTTTTGGACACGTATTCTTTATACGTGTGGCCGGGGCTCTGAAATCGAACAAAGGGAACTGGGCCTTGTAACGAAAGACCGTACTCATAACAAACGACCAGGCTACTGGGAATTACCAAAATTTTTTCAATCTCAATAGTGGAGATAATCCAGATTTGTTCTGAAACAGTATACCACAGTTTGGGGCATTCAGCGCGAGCGGATTACCACCGGGGACAAAAGCGCTCCACCACTGCAGCGATGAGCCACACAGTACCGCTGCATGCTAATCTGGCCCCTATTGAAAAGAGGTCAGCAGCACACTGTGCTAGTTCCATGAACAAAAGAAAATTACGTTACACTGCACAACCTGGGCTCTTTTTATAAGGCGGCAGGCCTGGCTGGAATACTCCAGTGTCAACAGATGTTGTCTGTCAGATTAGAGTAGAAACAAGACAGTCCTTCGTGTGGGTGTAAGTGTCCAGTAAATGACGATATGAATTTTTAAAGAATTGTGAAAACAGAAAAAAATGAAATCATTATCCCGTCCCAGCATCATCAACATTCGTAAATGCCCCTGACTTGATGTGGTGAATGCAAATGCGTAACTGTTCATTGTAGACCAATAAAACACTAAATGACACTGTAAATATGTTCAGTTCTTTTGTCCAACTTGTTTTTCCTTTTTAACACGTCTTTGAACAGTGGAAACACTAATGGTGAGTTATCATACGTATGAAGCCAAACCACGGTAGTTGTGCATATATTGCGCATGTCCAATGCGTATTAGACTCGCAATGCAGCTGTTCATCGGTATATCAACAGTAAAAAATACCGCCAATTTGTGTGAATTACGGCAGTCAAGCGTTACAGCATAATGGTTTGTGATGAATGGGGTATGGGTTTGAATCCTGGGTCGAAATAGTGGACAGGTTTTTTCTTTTTTTTACGGAAAACAAAGCCCGAATGTTATAGAAGCCTAATTTCACACGTGAAGTTTTTAGGGTTGGTTGAGCATCATAGATGTCATGCATTGTGCATGTTGTGAACCGTGGTTTGGCTTTATACGTGTGATTGCGTATATACATGTAGCTCTTAATGGTTGCAACAAAGTTTCAAATGGCAGCCATCTTGAAAAAAATAAAAAATAAAAAGCCCCGCTTCCTCCTTTAAAAGAAAAAATCCGGACGAGAAACATTTTTCTGCTTTTTTTACTTTGCCTTAAATTGACAAACCATCCCCTTCTATCAAATAAATATCCCCTTTCGGTCTTCAGGCATACATGTACACATACACATTGTGTAGGCTTGCTGGGAGTAGTATACAATATTTGATCTATTGGGTGTAGTTCCCAGAATGCAATCTGAAGTTTATGCTTCCTCTATGCTTACATACATGTGTGCAATGTGGACTTTGGCAGCCATGAGCCATACCTCTTTGAAGTGTTCTGCAATGAGATTGAACATAGGCTCGCACTTGAATGTCTCGGCTGCTGTCAGGCTGGGCTGGATTCGGGCCCTTGTCAAAATCCAAATAAAAGCAAGGCAATAAATAAAGGGTCAGCTACATGTACCAGGAAAGCAATTGCAAGGCAAGTTGACAAGAAAGTAAATAGAACACACATAAACTGCATAGTTTGAAAATACACGTACTCTCAAAAATAACTGGCTGGCCAGAATTCCACGGCTGTAGCAACAATGGACAAGTCTGGGACCAAGTTGAAAATGACAAATTCACAGCAATTACACAGCTGGTATCTTGGCCCTTTGTAAGGCTTTTGGGGGCTGGGGTGGGGGTTGCAAAGTTTTTTTTTTCACGTTAGGAGTATTCAGTGTTATAATTATACCAATGAGGAGCACTATAACACTTTGGTTAGCAAATATGTTGATAAAAATAAATCCAATATTCTTTATGATACTAACATCTAAACTTTCAATTATAATTATCGAGACTGGAATGATACACATGTAGGTCCTTGAACTTACTTGGAGTGATCAGGGAAGCCCATTTTGTAGAGTGTGACTATGACAGCACCTCCTAATCCTAAGTTATGTTGTAATGCGAGCTTGGCTCCAGGCACCTGCCTTCTATCAGCTTCTCCACGCAACTGCCAACAAAGCTCAGAACACTGGGCTAATCCTGCATATATTAAACAATGATGCAAAACAAGTGCTCAAAATAACACAGGCCAAATGCAAAAAAAATTACGCCATCTGTGTTTTTTAAAACCCCACAAAAAAGGTCTCAAAAGAAAATTATATCAAACAGAACCCAAAAAGAAAAATAAAAAACCAAAAAAATCGAACGTTTACGGTACAACATTAATTAACAAGCATCTCAGCCTAATGGGTCTGGGTCCAATTTGAAAAATCATTACCACTGACAGCGTAAAATGAATCCCACAATCAAAAATTTTTAAGTCACTTGCTATTTTCCACAATAAAAAATAATTGGTGTATTAAAGCAAGCGTCGCAAACAGAATTTACTGAATTTTTTTTATTTACCAAACCAATAATGAATCTTTAAGGGTGTGATTGGCCACATAGAAAAAAGCTGAAAATAGCAAACAAACGATGAGTTTAAAAAATCTCCCATTATTTTGTATGGAGTTGATACACAAAAAAGCTTACATTCAAAGTAAACATAACAACCCCAAAAGCTGAAATCAGCTAAAAAGCTGTAACATAATCAATTATCCCTCATGTACAACCTGAACATGCTGAAGGCTAAAACAAGCTGAAGGCCTGTATTATCAAGCATGTCAAAGCAAACAGTGGCATATCAACATTTTGGCATTTGATCCGCCAAATGTTTACATAATTGTTGGCTCAACATTGCTTTTGTATGGGTCCAAATTTTGGTACCACAGCTACAATGCAATTCTTTCATAAATGTGAAATTAACCCAGACGATGGAGACATTTATACGTGTATCTGTAAATAGGTATTATATGTACATTTGAAAAACAAATCTTGAACACTCTGCATTCTAGAATCGGTGAGATGAAGACCCCTGCCCCAAGTTCATGGCAAAGGGATATGCTAGATTTTGTTCTTTAGGGGCAAGTTACATGTAAATGAAGAATGAATTTTCTTCTAAGTTTCAATTACTATAATAAGAGTAATAAAAAAATTAGCACCGCAGCGACTTTAACAGTTGTCCGATTGCCCATGACAAGTAATTTATAAATGCTTTCGGGCAAGTAAAAATTAAGGACAAATTGTCCGATGGGTACTTTTTTGTGGCAGGCAGGAAATTTCCCTTTGATTTCTCGTTTTCCTCTTTACAAAAGCTTATAAAAAGTGGTGAAAAGTAAACAGGTATGTGGTGTAAAATTATTTTTTTGGCATTGTTACGTCCATGTACATGTACAAACTCACATGTATTAAGAACACTGTACATTTAGCAGGGCACCTTTCCACACAAGGGAAAATGCGTACATACTGTACCCACAAACTGTAAAATACCCTTGTGTCTTTGTACCAAACCTCATTGCACGTGTGGTGCAGCGGTGTTTTGACGGCCGGAAGCTCGAAGACTGTTTTACACGTGACTGTGACTTCAACGTGAGCGAATTTTACCTGGTACTTATGTATGTGTACTTTTGGCATATGAAACCAAGCAAAATCGACGAGTGGTTAAGAAACAGCCATTGCCCAAACTTGTATGAATAATGCATCAGAATCCTGCACACGTTGGGGTGATGTACATGTATATTCATGTTGTACTGCGGTGTTACACTTTCATTAATGGTGATTGTTATATATAACGGGTTTGCCCTTACCCAACGTATATTTATAAGCACTGTATGCTCAGTGCTTGCCCGAGAACTTGCGAAAAAACCTCTCAAGGGCAAACCCGTTATATATAATTAACATCTCCCCAACGCAAAAATACATCTTGATAATGGTGATTGGTTGAAGGGAGAAACTTACTGTCCCTGCGCAGCAATGAGCAACTGAACCGGGGTTTGGGCAAGTAAATTTTTAGTGTTACTTGCTTGGTGGACAAGTAGTAAAAAAAATTAATGTTGAGGCCTGCCGCAAAAGCCAGCAAGTATTTTAAGACAGCATTGCTGCATTGTCAGGGCGCGCAATACACGCTGCATTGACAAGCTAGCTGTTTATGCATGTTTAAAATGTTGAGATATATGTACTTCAGGGAGAGATAATATTTTAAGAAGAAACAGTTGTGAAGTTGTGGGAATAATAAAATGTCTGCTTTCCTTGTAATTCAGGGACTTATGTATTGCAGAATGGTCGAGCCAATATGTAATTAGTGTGGTTCCCTGACCATAGATTTCCCAGCAGTATATACATGTCATCTTAACGAGAGTAGTCGTAATTATCGGACTGGTATCCAAAGCAACATAGACATTCATTACACGAATACGCTGTATCTGTTTTGTCACGTGACGTAAGGCCATAAGAATGTAGCTACATGTAGCTGTGTGTGGAGAGTCGAGGCATGAGAGGTATTAGGATAGTAGAAAAAACTTCATTTTTTTACCGTAATAAGTTCAACGCTACAAACTGCACTCGAACACGGATGTTCGATATACATGTACATGTATTAGTTCATTATGAGGGTCTTTAGGGGGTAGATTTGCTCCAGAAAATGCAAACTGAAGATTTCTCAGGTACAACTACCTGACCCTTGCAGAGCACTTTTCAAAAAGCCGTAGCCTACAAAACCATCAAAAAGATGGATGCAAAAAGGTCTACGGAGTAGTACCTTATTGTTCTGGAAGTATCCTTGAAGACCCCCAGTATTTGACATTGTAATCTTGCAAAACTGGTAAGTCCCACCAAAAAATTAAAAACCAAGACTTTTTATATCATTGTTCATTGCACTGACCCTATTTTGGGGAACTTTCATATTGCAAACTGTGAGAAAATGTAACTTTCTTACTAACAAACCATGCAAATTTGAATCCACCAAGTGTCATACTCACAAGTCACACTTTCCACTCAGAACTTCCCTCAAAACCCTACCCTTTTATTGAACATGATGTCATTGACACAGTCAACTCCTAAGGTGAATTCAAAAGTCAAAATGTAACTCTCCCCTCTAGTATTATAGCATGGAGCTACAATGTAGGAAGGAGGGGAGGCCTAACCCCCCCCCCGTGGGTTCCGACGTCCGCTCCGCTCCTACGTGGGAGTGGAGCGGACGACGGACCCCACCCCTTAAATAGGAACAGGGAACCCAAATTTACAATTCCCACGAATGGCCCAAATGCTCGCTGGCGGGCAGAAAAGCATACATTTACCTTAAAGATACTTGGTATAGCTGTATACAGTAGTAGTCGACTACTTCAGGAATCAGTCAAAGTCACTACTCTGTCGTGCGTCGACGTGGTCACAGTGTGCTGGTACATGTACGTACATGTGCATGCTGCAACGTGCGTTGTGCACAGCGCGGCGACGCGGCAGCGCTAGCGAGCTCCTCAGATTAATGCATGACCTTTGTCCCTAGCAGTAGTGTAGCTGTAACTAGACTGGTTGAAAGTCCTCACATGGTCCTTCTGGACTACAAAAGTAAGCAGTATTGATGACCTTTCCGATTTTGTGTTATTTTTCGTTGTGTAAAACTCTTGTACATTTCTTTTTGTATAAATGCATCGAAAATAAATTGTACTTTATGAACACTTAAAAGAACCAGGAAATAGAAATATTTTTTATAAATTTTAGTAAAAACCCTTCTAATTGCATCTTTGAATTTCAATTAACCTAATTTTAGATTTTTGTTTTGCAATTGTAACCCATATTTTGATGCTTTTTCGGATTTTATGCAGATGCCATCTGAATATGCATGAGCATAACTATGATGTCATACAAGGCACTGAATCTCAATGTTGTACTGATTTGTGCACAGAAAATTTCTAGATTTTTTTTAACCATTGCTATGGCAGATTTCATTTTCTTTGGCAATTTATTGCTGTGTAAATATATGGCAATAATCCAGCAAAAATTCTTTTCACAGAAATGTTCTCAGATAGCAAATTTGAGGTTCACAATTTGCAATCAGCCGATCTGCAAGGTCATTCTATTGGCTTAGCATGACTGATTAATTTGGAATGAAATCTCCCACTTTACTCCCTTATTCGAAACAATTTCTCACAGCCCTCCGTTAAATAGAAAAGGCTGATTGAGGAATTTACATATTGCGCAGTTAGACTGACCGATCTTGCACAGACTGACAGTGCCCAAGAGTTACATTAGAGAAAGAAGCTAAGGTTTCTGAGGATGAAGCTAAGGGTATGGACATTAATTTGTACAAACTAATCCAGAAACCAAATTAAACAGTCAAAGTGCTCCTTTGAAAAGGCGATGTTGAGAGAGGCCATCGCCAGCTTTATCACATCCTGCCTGAAAATTTAAATTTTGCCCTTACAGCAGTCCTTCTCGTCTTTGACCTAACCCAGCCATAGGCTGCCTCAGCTGCATCTTGTGTGCTGAGTTTTAATTATGCTTATTGTCTTTGTCTTCATTTTCAAGGTGATTCCTTCTGAAACTTCAATGGAAGTCAGCTAATTCAAAGTTGCATTCAAACAAACTGGATTAACCATATGCTGCTGGGTTTAATTAGAATTTGCATGACGAGTTCCAAGGGGGTTTTCAAGATTTTTGTTTTCAAAATTCTGCAAAAATTCATAACTTCATTTACTGGATGTTTACACCCGCACAAATGACTGTCTGGTGGCTACTCTAATCTGACAGGCAATATCTATTGATGCCTGAGTATTTCAGCCAGGCCTCCCGCCTTGTACAGAGAGCCCAGATTGTGCGGTGTTGCATAATTTCCTTTGTTCCCGAAAATGGCCCAATGCGCTGCTGGCATCTTTTCAAATGTGGCCACATTGGCGTGTAGCAGTACTGTATCTCTCGTCTCTGGAACACTGGAGCACTTTTGTCCCTAGTGATAATCCACTTTCTCCGAATGCCACAAATAGTGGTATACTGTTTCAAAACAATGAAGGATTACCTCCACTATGGACAACTGAAAAAAATGTTGGTAATTCCCAGCAGCTCAGTCTTTTGTTCTGAGTTTCTTCTTTTGTTACAAGGCCCAGCTCCTTTGTCTGATTTCGGGCACGCCCAGTTATGTGTATAAACCTGAGGTCTCAGGTACATGTACCGGGAACCCTGGCACAAAGTGGTTAAACCGTTTGTGTTGAATCAGTTTTTGCCCTGGTAAATATTGAAGAAAATTTGGAGGATAGTAGATGGGGGAGCATTTGTGAGACCATCATGCTTACCCATTAAAGGACCTGCCAACGGGGGGGGCATAATCCCAAAGTTGAGGCGGGGGGGGGGGACCAGGGGGCCCCCCTGGCCCCCCCCCCCCTCCCGCCAGCGGTTATANGGGGGGGGGGGGGGAACCAGTGGCCCTACTGGCCCCCACCGCTTCTCCCGCCAGTGATTATACACCTTTAGAACAGTAAGTCATGTCCAATTAGCCATGGATAGAGATCCTGGGGGATAGGGGATATATCCCTCCCACTTTTTGACGGGTAGGGGGGGAGTTACCAATTTAATCATGCCCCCACCCCTTACAAGTCACTGACTTTTTGCACACCTGGCTTTGCACCTGCACTCCACCAGGTGGCCCATAGGCCCCCCTCATTAAAGTGGCACCTTGGACCCTGTGCCCTGTAACACTCCACAAAAGCATGACCTTTCAGAAATCACTCCCCCTACATGTGACAAGAAATATTTGCCTATACAATTAGCATAACCCTCAACCCTCCCAGGTGATATGCACATACTACCAACTTCAATGCCAACTGTGTACTCTGTATATCGAAGACTTTGTTCTTGGATGTCATGCATGTGTAAAAGTTTGAGTAGCAAGTCTAACAGCTGCAAAGCACTTCATGATTCTTGTACAAATGGTATTCATGAAAAGATCACAAACAAGGGCCACTTGTTGGATTCTAAGCTTGATTCAAACAACCTTGTTTTTATTCCTTAGATTTTGCAAGAAGCAAAGAATAAGATGGTTTGCCGCATTACATGTATATGTGTCAAAATTCTCCCAAGCTGTAAATAGTATACTCCTCGAATTCAAGTTAAATTAGTCTTGAAAATCTTGAATGGTAATAAGGACTTAAATGGGGTGATTCTGAACACGTAAAACTGACCGACAATTTGCTGTTTTTAATCAATAAGGTACGCCTGATCAAGCCCGAGCCACATGCTTACTGAAATAAAGCATACAGCCTGGGGGAGATCTAAATTATAGGAGCCTTACTGCGTGACTAAACTTTTCTGCTTGTCATTCAAATTTCAGCCTTCCCTTTTAACAAATTATTCAGAATGGATCAAAGGTAAGGCCCTTCTTTTTTTCATTACAAATACCCAAGTTCTGGGTTCACTTAACTTACACACTGGTTCACAAGAATTGTGTACATGCCTAATTCTAAACACAGGATAAACTCCTCACCTGTTGCACCCAATGGGTGGCCCTTGGAGATGAGACCACCGCTAGGATTAATAACGTACTTCCCTCCATAGGTGTTATCTCCTCGATCAATTAGCTCACCAGCCTTACCTTTAAAGAATACCATGGATATCAAGCCAATCAAACAATCTAACAGTCAAATAACTACAATCTAACTACAATCAAATAACTAAAAATAAGTAAACAACTAGACAACTTAACATAAAAATACAACATAATGAATAAACAAATAAAATGTAATACTTTAATAAGCAATCAGTTTATTTCTTATGTGTTGATGTAGTCTTTAAACTGCATTCTGTGTTAAAGTACATAAACAATCTCTTCCCTGCAGAACCTCGCAAAGCAACTAACTGAATGAAGAATGTGTAGGCCAACTCTAATAACTATACTCCCTAAAAAGAGAAAGAGTACATGCATTTCTAAACTGCCATGGACTCCAACATTAATTTACGAATAAACCAATGAAGTCATAGTCCAGATCTTTTACAACACAAAAGTTAAGAGGGAGGGTTTGACATTTTGATCTTTGCATTACTCCCAGATAAATTCTGCTAGGATTGAAACTGAAGGGATATGACAATCACAACTTCCAACTTGTATGCAAATTATATATTTGGTCATTCCAAACAGTAAGGAGTCGACAGCAAAGTTGACTTATTTCTGACAAATACATTTTGCTATCTTTGGCAAAGTTGCAGTGGTCATACTTCTTCAAATCTTTTTTTCCAGCAGGCCATAATACCTAGTATTCTCTTAACTTGAGACGATCATACCTGGTGGACACAGGCCAAGTGCCTCATATGTAATCAACTCATTAGCAGCAAAGCAATCATGCAGCTCCACAACATGAACATCGGTGGGGTGAATTCCTGCCTTTTTAAAGACCTCATCTGCTGCTTTCTTTGTCATGTCATATCCAACCTTTAAATACAGTTTAAAAGACCACACTGAAGGAGGTATACCAGTTCACTGGAGCTGTCATGATTTTCTTATAGGCACTTCTGTCAAAATAATAATGAAATTTCTGACAGGTCTGGCTTAAGTGCAGGGGTGTAAAGTTTCTTTTTGATACAGCTCAGCTGATAATGAGCTGGATGCCTGGAAAGCTCACGATCCTGTTTCTTGTGTTTGAGGCCTTTCAGCTTCACAGGTTATTTCCTCACCAGCAATTACACTGTACTCTACTACCCCGGAGGGACAAATTCTCCAAAAACACCATTTTGAATTCAGAAATCTTGACCCTGCAGCACACATGTTCCAAGGGAATAATCAGGACATACAAGTAAGCAAGTTTGAGCAACATAGCAAGAACACTCCTGAATGTATATATATGTTCAGTTGCAATAAATTTTGACACGTCACTGAGTAATAATAACATTCATACCATTTTCATGATGCTGTTTTCCTCAAATGTGCTGGGCAGATCTGTAGCCATCTCCATACCAATTATCTCCACTGCTTGTCCCTCTAAGTTATGATTCCTCACAAAGTCCTCACTACACAAAATAGCTGCTGCACTACCATCTGATGTGGGGCTGAACAAAAGCAACAAGACAGACTGCATGGTTTCCCAATTTTTCTTAAGATGACCTCTCCAGACTCTCTGTCCAATAATGCCAAAATGATGATAGGCATGTATGGTGGAAATAAAAAAGTGAAAAGTTGGCACTGGAAGTAACTGTATGTAAAATCTCTGATTGATGTTGTATTTTGAATTGAGCTGGTCCCAATGACAAAGCCAGCCACATGCTGGGAACTGTTTATCAAACACAACAGTAGTAAAACTGGAAACAACAGGAATCTAACAGTTCTACACTTACCAACATTGCAGTTTGGTGAGAGGTTGAGACACCACTGGTGACTTCTTGATTTCATCTAAGGAGAATTCTGTTTGAAACTGTGAATAGCTGGGGGTTGAGTGGGAAAAGAAAGGTGCCTTGTTCTGACATCTCGTGGCTATGCCCAATGCATGGGTGTAAATCCCGGGGGAGGAGGGCGGGAGATATATATTCCCGGGGGGGGGGGATGGGCTACTGAATCATCCCCCAAACATGTTTGTGATGAGGAAAAATTTAATACGACTGTGAAGAATTTTTTGGATTTCCCAACGACTAAAATGCTTGCAATATCACTAGAAAGGGGAAACAATAAATAAAGCTACATGTATAAATATGCCGTTCTGATATAAGATTCTGCATGAATTAGATACACATTACAGATGTATATTTTTATCATGAATATCGTCCCCGTAAAGTGTATATGGTATAGTCCCTGACCTTTTCAAATTTCCAGGGCTGGGCAAGTCATCCCCCCACCTTTTCCAGCACCGATTTACGCCACTGGCCCAATGGCGACTTGTGTCATTTGCAATAAATACATGTATCTAATGCCATCATGGATGGACAATCACACACACATGTACATGTACTAACGAAACTAATTCCTACTTTGTACATTTGATTGAGATTACCAATATACATACAAAGTCATTTCTTGAAGCTTGACAATTATCCTCTTGAAGATTTTTAGATATTTTGTTTTAAGCAAAGCTACTAGAATTGCATGTACATACTCATATACACTTCAATCAAGAACTATTGATAAAAGTAAATGAGTGTGGCTTACGGATTGTTGGTGGAATGTTTGTGGTTCTTGTAGGCAATCTTTGCCATGTGCTCTGCTGTTGTTCCTGCAAAAAGTCAGAGACAATTATGAATTCAATTCAATATTGCACATATTCTGTTTAACAAGTTAACCTTCATGACACTTGATTGTTTACTAAAATATTCCACAGTTGCTAGATCAGTACAAGAAATAATTTCAATCAACTTGTAACACCAAAAACCCTGGTGCAGTGTAAATCACAGAAATTTTTTTGACTGTTTGTAGTTTTCTTTTTTTCCCATCAAAACAGAAAATTATCTGAGGACAAAGGCACTTTTATAATCCCTTCATATGAACTATCCTGCACGTTGAGCAAAAAGCAAAAGATTTACCGTATTTGCTCATGTGTTCTTTACCAGCTTGGCTAAACATCTGAGCTGTGATCGGGCCAGGCTGCAGGCCATGAGTGTTCATAAGGACCTCAACATGTTTGTCGATTGGGTTGGTACGGTCCTCAAACTAAACAGTTGGGAGGTTAAACTAAGTTGTAAATTATCATAAATAAATTAACTGTAAAAGTGGATGAGTGGGGGATAGCTGAAGGTAAAAATTGACCAGAATATTCAATTTTGAATTGGAGACTCTGTATTTCTGCACAAATCACAAAACAGGAGAAATAAATTAAACAGTTTAATCATAACTGCATGTAGGTGACGTGTTACACCACAAATTTCCTGATGATAATCAGATTCACAATCAGTAAATGTTTGTACAACTTTAACAATGTAAAATGCAAGCTCATTAGACAAAATGTCAGAGTCCAGGGGACAAACTTTGCTTTACAGATAAGATTGACCTTCATACAGCATTTGATTCCAACTGAATAAAAGTACAGGAAAACATAAAGTATTATTACACAGTGGCATAATGTGACAGCGTTTCATTATGGATTCCCATAAAGTAAGTACATGTACCTTCTGAACAGCAACTGTTAAGAAGGGGCTCACTTCTAAGGTTAACGAAGAGCCATTTTTGCTGCCATATGCCTAGTGCACATGTGTGTGAACAGCCATTTGATTTGTGCACATTCGGACAGAAATCAGTCATACCATATTCTGTTCCATGCATAACATGTGAAGCACTGTGTTGATGTGTGGTAACTTGGTAAAAAATGGATGCCCTTTCTACATGTAGGTAACAAAGCATACTCTTACATTTACAGGTCAGAAATAAATAAGCAACGGTTCATTCGGCAAGAGAAGAGATAAACCATTCCAGCTGTGTCTGCTTCTTTTTTTAAGGGTATTTAACCCACATGCCTATGGTAGATGTGTCTGCTGGCTCCTTAGTGGGACTTTTTATTCTGAACATTAACTTTGAGGCACAATATAGAAAAGGAGCACTTTGCATAAAAGTGTAACATACTTTCAACTTGCCCCAGCTAGACCCATCTATATTTGTCAACCTTTTAACATAAAAAGCAAACACAACTTCCCACGGACTACAGAGACAGATGTACATGAACATTCCATGGTAATAAATATACAGTGTACTAGTGTCTATTTAATTGTTTCATGGGAACCGGGTACCCGTCGTAATAAAAAAAAAATCTAACCCTAAAATCCAAATAAAAAATATCTGGAAAAAAGTATTAAAATTGCCAATTTTAATAAAAGCAAACTGCATATTTATAACAGCATTTGGGAATAAAACTTGGGAAACCATGTCAGCATTCAATGCAGACTGTTTTATTTCCTTCAAAAAAACCTTTTCAAATCTTTCTTTTTCGGTGTTTGAAATGCTACCAAGTAATATGTTACATTGGTTATACATGTAGGTGCTTGGTTCCATGAATTGGAACCGGTTCCAGCCATAAGTGTTTCGGCACTCAGGTACCTGGTTCCCATGCATTGCCAAAGCAGCTACATTATGAACCTGTGCTTTCAGTGAGCCTTGCTGCATCTTTTCAAATCCCAATGCCATGACACAATCAGCCAAGCCTCCTTCAACCAGCTGCTTGGCCAAATACAAGGCAGAAGAACCAGTGGCACACGCATTGTTCACCTGTACCAAAAAAAAAAACACATGAACTGCTTCTGCAGCAAAAGAATCCTTGTCACAAAGTGGGTCAATTGTGGTCACTCATGGTGGTTGGCACAGTGATTTAATGCCTTGAACTACATGTACACCCAGTCACTGGCTTGACCTCAAGATGTTGGTAGCTCTAGAGTAAACTCCTGGTCACTTTTGCTGGAGCAGCCATCATGTTGTTTGGTTGCCAAAGAGATAAGCCTGTCTTTGTTTTTTGCAAAAGCAACCCTCCTCCACCCCATTCAGTGCCACCATCGGGTAAAACCGTAGCTTACTTCAATGCCTCTTTTGTTGCTTTGCAAAATTTGGGTGAGCACTAAGTCGGTGCTCTAGAGTTATCTAGAGTAATCGACAGCGATCCCATGTTAATTTTTTAAAGAGCCAAAAGGGAATTTCCCCCCTTTTTTCTTCAATGGTTTTAGGGAGGTTTTTGCCCTTCTTAAGAGTTGGCAAAGTCACTGACATCGGTTGGAGTTGGCGTGCAAATTTCATTCAGGACCTGCAAATTGACCTCAATTTTCCTTTGTCGGCAGAAGCACTAGATTATTAAGGGCCAAATTAAGAAAGCCAGTTCGTACTCACCAGTTTATGTGGATTAACAGAAATAGTTGTTAGTGGTTTTTGAAAATGCTCATTGGTTGACCGATATTCCAGCAAGACAGTTTAGGCCCAAGTCGGGCCGCACTTCATGGAAATCACAGCGTTTGATATTGACAACTTAGGATGGTTGGCCCTAGCCTTGGTCAAGGCATTCGTCATTCATCACATCTCAGCGCAGCGAGCACCAACCGCTCGATATCAACGTGAAGACTGACGTCACACGGTCTAAGAAATATGCAAATCAGCTGAACCAGGATAAACGCCTTGGAGCAACCATCCGTGGAAGCTGTATTGGATGGTGCTCATTATGCTAATGACAAAAACCAATGTTTTAAATACGCTTTTGGATTGGTTCACATTAGTAAATGCATAATTCAAGTCGGTCGTAGGGTGAAAGGTTAACTGAAATGCACATGTGGCTATACATGTACTGTACATGACAAGTCAACAATATAAATTTTGCCAGCTGATCAACGTGATCGGAGATCGAGTTTGCCTTTGCTTTGCTGTACTGATTGTGATTGATTTTTTTCCAATGATTTAAACTAGTGGATAACGCTATCTGGCTTGGTTGGTTACAATACAGACTTGGTCAGCAACCTCCAGTTAAATAAATGACAATTGTCACAACTTGACTTACGCTAGTATAGGCTTTATATCTGATCTGAGAAGCTCCGAGCAGAAACGTTCAGCCTGAAAAATAACAGATTTCCCATTGTCTGTGGGTGAATTCCCGAAAACGTTGTGACCCCGCAGAAAGTACATGTACGTGTATTCCAAAGCTTGCTGCTGCTCGGCACGAAAATCACCCAACATTAATTTATCTCCAGCAGAATTCAAGTAATAAGGCTACTCATCATGCCATTTGTCATTTTACATTGTTATTGTGCATGCCAGTTCACGTTGATGCATTATGCATAGGCCCTATGTATACTTAGATGAGATTGGTCACCATGCACTCATCGCACGCCTGCATCTACAGTGTATTCATATTCGCATATGAAGTCATGCGCTAGAAATCTAGCACAAAAGTAAAGAAAAACATAAGCTTCAGCGGACGGTTGCATTAAGGCATTCGTCCTGGCTCAGCTGATTTGCATACATGTGTATTTGTTAGACCGTGTGTGATTTCGAGCAGCTGGTGGTGTGCACTGTGCTGCGAAGAATGACGAACACCTTGACCAAGGCTAGGTTGGCCCCAAAGTTATACTAGAGTAGATCCTTGTTAATTTGTTCATGAGAATTAGTTAATTTTGCATTCTGTCATTTGTACTTCCTGTTTGAATGTGCATATCGAAGGCGTTGTACCTCTCTGATACATTCCAAAATGATTTACCGCTCCATCTGCTTTGGGCAGAAACAAACGCGGACAATTGCTTTTTCATACACTTTGCTGATGTTTTTACACATTATGCTGATATTAATTGCTGTTTCGCATCACTAGCTTCGGGTGGGAACAATCTCTGTAGATTTCTGAATAGCTATACTTTGCCTGTAAACAATCGCTTAATTGCACAAAATGACCACTAATGTACTACATGTACCTCTACCAACAAATTTCAGTTGCACTTTTTATGTTGAAAAAATACTTTTCCTTTGCTATTTATGAATGTTATGATGTTAAATAAATAAAATAGCATCATTTTGCACACCAACCCATCAACATTTAAAATTAGCAAAGTAAAATTACAAAAAAAATAAAATACAACTTTAAGTTAGTGCTGCATGTAGTACATCAGTGGTCCTTATACATTTAGTTTAAGTATTGATATGCTGTACATGTACCACCATTTTCAAGGAAGGTCAAAATGTCATTCTGTGACTAAAATTTCCAGCCTGTAAGTTTAGATGTACTTAATGAAATTATTGTCCTTTGAACGTCATATGAAATTGGGCACACCCTCAGTATATTATCCTTGATTACTTGTAAAAGAATGTACCAGTAGCCAAAGCTCTCCCATCAAGCCTCTGCTGATACAACTATGCAAACAGCATTGGTACATTACATAGAGACACTGCACTGTGCATCAAATATGAGCTGAGAATGCAATTTGCTTGCCTCAGTCTGTTCATGTCAACAAGGTTAATCATAAGTGTTTCCGGGCACCAGTTGTAAGTGCTGCTGAGGTCAAGCAACTTTGACAAGAAAAGCATAAGCTGGAAAAGCTGGCAACAAATTTTGGACCAAATATTCTCTACAAATATTTGCACAGCGTTTCATGAGTAAATTTCCAAGTAAAGTTGATATTTGAAAAAATTACACATTTGAAAAGCAGCAGCAGGGCAATTTTTCAAAATACAAACCTCAAAAAATGCACCTTTGTATCTCAACTTAGGCTCATATTCATTTCGAGTTTCACTATTCTCATGGGTATTCTGCTGCCTTCTTGGTTTTATGCCCAAGAGAATTTTCACATTTTTGACATCATAGCAACAGCACCCTCATTTGTCCAGAAAAGTATGGGAAATTCTTAAAGTTTTAAAAATGCAATTTTCAAATGCATTTAACCCAAAGGGATGTCAGATAATTTCTTTACAATGATGGAGAGTATAAAACTCATTGCTGTAACCCCTTGTTTTTTAGATTTTGTTTTCACAAATGAATGCGCATCTTGACTAATTGATTGTGACTAATTAGCCACTGAGGTTCATTTTAATTACTTGGTTCTTGCAAAAGTTACATTTTTAAGGAATTATGTTTTGCAGTTTTAAAATTGGAGAAACTCCTCTGGTGATTATCTCAAAAACTGCGAAATCTCCATGTGTGGCTCTTCTTGAAATGTCGACAAACTGCAGAACCTTCTAAAACAGACATTCCTTGGAGCATGTACAAATGATAGCCCTCATTCATTGCAATATGCACAACTGTAAGTAAGGCTCAGGAAACACTGCAACATACATGTATTTGGAATCAATTCTGATTTGGTCGAGGAATTTATTATTCTGTTCAGAAGAAACTTGTTCAAAATCAACTGTAAGTTCCTCCCCCCAAAAAAACTATGACCAAAAAAAAAGAAGCCCTCATATATACATCCACTTGAAAATGCAACGGTCAATCGCTCATAAGAGGTCAACAAAAGGTGTCATCACCCTCTAAGCCATTCATCTTGTGCTTTCATAACATCTCCATTCGTAGACAAAACATTTGAGTTTACTACATTTGTATAAAAAGCATCAGATTTTTCCCCAAAGAATCTCAAATCTTGGAATAAATGCTAGAATTTGCCTTTATTTTTGGGATTGTTGGGCAATGTCTAGGATCAACTTCCCAGCAACTAGAATAGCCTGCCGCTGACAGCTGATTGTTCCAGAAAGTGGAGTGCTATACCAAGTTCAGAATGGGTAGTATTTGATTCTGGCCCGGTTACATGTACCTGAGCCACTTGTTCCATTACTGTGTTCTCAGTGGTCAGAGAGGGCAAAACCTAATAAGGTACAAAAATCATCATCCCCAATGCAAAATCCTAATGAATATAATGGCATTCTCTGATACATTTCAATTTTAGACAGTGGTAGTTCTTTGTGTAGAATGTTCCACTGTCACGGGTTTGGTATTCCAGGTGTACATGTACAATGCAGCTGCATTCATGGGTGCTTTAATGCAATCATAGTTTGTCTACATGTATATGTACAGAGGTACATGTATACTGTACGTACGTTGTATATAGGAATACCAGTCATGCCAAGTTGGTACATAGCACGCTGACCACATGTAGTGTCTCCATACACATAGCCTACCACACCTTGTTCCACATCACTGTACTTGATACCAGCATCATGTAAAGCCTTGGTGCCAGCCTCCTTAGCCATTTCTGGGTAGTCAAAGTCTGCTCGTCGGCCTGGCTTCTCAAACTGTTTTTGTGAAAATAAAATATCACACATTACTGAGAAAAATTTGAAGTAAATTGCTTCAAAACCAAATTATGTTTTATGAAAGTGTGATACATATCTAACTATCTATTTTAGTCAAAAATGGGCAAAAATATAGCAATTCTCTTTTCAGATGACCAAAAGGCTTCTGACACTTCGAATGATTTTTTTTTAATAAGATTTTTCGCCTTTTTGACTTTTGGAGTTTTGTAAATTGGATCCGAACAATGCATTCATGAACGTTTTTTCTACGTGCAATGAATTAATGATGGCTGCTCTCCGAAGTATTTACACTTCAGCATGGCCTTAGGCAATGATGTCCTTTCTGCATTGTTATTTTCAATCATTGCAGAAGTTCTTGAAACCAAAATAAGAACGAGCTGAGAAATTAAAGGGATCGAATTAGCAGACAGATTTGTGTGTTTCAATTGGGCAATGGAAAATCTTTGCAATTTTACTGATATTTACATTCATGCTGCCCATACCATTCACTTCTCAATATGAATTTTAAAAGGCAAAAATGCTGTTCATGTGCATGTACATTATTACAATGTACATCAAACTTTCTATAATTTTGTAATTAGCTAATAAATCTGTTGGCAAGAAATTTCCAACAAAGATTGCAAAGATCAATTTACAACAGAAATAACTGCACAAATATTTTTGCGTAATAATTATATTAAGTATAAAAATATGCCACAGTATCTAAGCAACTGGCATAAATCCAACTTTGTTTACATGTACGTTATAAACCTTCTGAATGAAAAGGGTGAATTGTTCAATGAGTATCTTAGAGACATATTAAAAATATAATGGTGGGCAGAAATGTATTTATAAAGGATGGCCAAACCAAAAGAGTGGTGGCCAAACCAAAAGAATGGTGGCCAAACCAAAAGAATGGTGGCCAAACCAAAAAGAATGGTGGCCAAACCAAAAGAATGGTGGCCAAACCAAAAGAATGGTGGCCAAACCAAAAGAATGGTGGCCAAACCAAAAGAGTGGTGGCCAAACTAAAAGAATGGTGGCCAAACCAAAAGAATGGTGGCCAAACCAAAAGAGTGGTGGCCAAACCAAAAGAATGGTGACCAAACCAAAAAAATGGAGGCCAATCCAAAAGAATGGTGGCCAAACCAAAAGAATGGTGACCAAACCAAAAGAGTGGTGGCCAAACCAAAAGAATGGTGGCCAAACCAAAAGAATGGTGGCCAAACCAAAAGAATGGTTCACAATCTTAGCAAACACTGAAAACAGAACTCCCTTTGAAAGGTTTACATGGTACATGTGCATGTTCTTTTAGCAGTTCAGAAAATGTACTTGTACATGTAACAACTAAAGCAGTATACAAAGTCTTAATTAATGGAAGAAGTAAAATGCCAGTATGTAGAAAATACTGGGAAGATATTGTGATGGCTTCATTCATCAGAAGACGGAAGCACAAATTATAAAAGGACGATCATGTGGATTTACATACTTGAACTTGTTTATTTCGGACAGGTCAATTGCCAACAAATAACAACCAACCACACTGACCACTAATTACATGTACAATCAACTCCAAAACAAACTGACTGTAACAATCTGTAATCTACATGAAGAGTGAATATTTACATGTACCTGTTGGGGTTGTTTATAACTACATGTACGAACAAAGAAAAACACATTCGACCATAACATTTTAAAAGAAAAAATATAAAAAAGAACAAATACAGCACATGTAGCATGGCAAAACAACTTTACGTTCTCCACCACAAGAGGGCGCCAGTGCGACCAAGCAAATGTGCTGTTTACATGAGAGACTGGCTCACGTGCACGCAGCAGTGATGTATTATATAATGCACTGCCAAGGCAAGTATTGATGGTGCAAAGGTAGCATAATGCATTTCCCATCGCAGCGTGCTATCAGGTAATATTAGAGATAACCAATAATCATTAACTACATGTAATAGTCAATATCCAATACATGTCATGAAATTCCATAACAACGTACATAATGAAGAAATACAGTGGAGTCCTGCATAGAAACCAAAATGTAAACCTACATGTACTTTGTAAAGGGAAAACTGTGAATACATGTAGTCCGCTGTGTTGTTTATTCAGGTGCAATGTGATGACCCCCTTTTTTTTAACTGTGATAAAACCCCTATCATTTCCTTTGATCACAAATGTGCCACTAGAAGTAGAGTTCCAAGTTGTAAACTGAAGGGTGGAAAAGCACACGTAGAAACTGGCCAAGCGGAAGGACATATGAATACAGAAGCTGCATTGAACACAAAAGTGTACATGTCATGTATCCACAAAGTCTGTTTGTAGTGGTTCCTTTGCTTACTGCGCGGCTTGTACATGTACACTTGGCAAAGCAGCTTGAACACCACAAACAAAAACACATCTGCACTGAATGTTAGAGCAAACCTTGCATTACTCTTTTTATTTTACATCAAACTGTCAATTTTACAATGTGATGCCATTTTAGCTCGTAGACAACAGCTCATTGTACCATTTACTTACATGCAGATCATTCATTTGGTCTTAAGATTTACTCCTCTTGAATGCTTAGCAAACATTGATGCCTGCACCTCAATCAGCCCTGTCACTTCGAACGAAGGTAAGCTTTGCATCAGTAACTGCCTTCATATTCAGCATCAATCACCCCCTACTTGATCCCAGCAGCGACACCTTTTGTACTTGTAGTTCCAGTACGTGATTGTCCATCACTGTCTTAAGTTGTGTGATGATTTACAACATTTTCTATAAAGGGATAGTACATGTACATGTATGTACCTCAGCCAAAAAATTATTTACATGTAGTATAGAATTGATGAACCCGCACTTTATTGCATTTTTTTTTTCAAAACTCACACAAAACTTTTTCATATGTGTCAGAAAATGGCTATTCTGCACGTTTCATCAAATTTTTTCACAGCCTAATGGCTTTTAATGGTCAGTAAATTTTCGCCTGCGTGGCATATCATTATATGTATGATTTTATTTTCTTGTAAATTTAATGCAAAATAAAACCATTAGCACCACTATTATCTAGTCACGTAATTCAATCACCTACAAGCCTAGATGTTTGCCCCCCTCCCCGGAAAACACCTGGTGACACCGATGGTTGGGAGATTGGCTTTCGACGAGACATGGCACACATATCAATAAAAGTAACATCATTTTTCTTTAGGTCTGTTAAGTTGATACAGTATAAGAAACAACCACAGTGCATCCCCCACCCAAAAAATAGATTCATGATATTACATGTACATATAGATACTTTTGATAAATGTTAGGAGTACAATACATGTGTACATGTTACATGTATATGCATGTATTTTTCACTTGGGGTTTGCAATCTTGAAGATCAAAGCGCAGCTGAAATATGAATGCTAACAAACATTGGTGTGTTATATTAAATGTACGCATACTGTACATGTACATTTACATAGCTTATTTGCCTCGCTTTGTTTCTTGATATGGTGTATGCTAATAGTGAAAGATCTGTGAACATTAACAGTCCCTGTCCTCCAATTTCAATATGACTTTCACACACGACGATTTGGAGTTACTGCACCAGAGTGCATACTGTACGTGCACAGGTACACGTACATACATTTTGTACATATCCCAATTTTACTTGGCCTCATCTAGTAAAATTTTTGTTTCCAAATTTGTCTCACCTGATGTATTAGGAGAGGTGGCACAACATAGCATATGCTTTTTTCTACGACCAGTTGGCAACAAGGCAAACGAATCAGAGTTCTGAATTCTTTTTGTTCTTCATTTAACCCTAACCCCCTAGGGTGTATGTACCGTATATATACCCCATTAGGTCATCAAAATAATACAGTTCCCAGGAGCCTGTCTCCGGGGAACTCCCTTTGGGCCAGAGGGGTGAGAGCGTTCATGATACCAGCGGAGTTGCTTATGCTGCGCGTGCGGCTTTGGCCCATTTCCAACAACGGCTGCACCCCAACCAATCAGACGGTGCACACGTCACTCTGGCTGGTTGTTTTGGCGTGTTCGCTACACTTCTCCTCTTTCGCCGAGCGCGTACAATTTGTAGTAAAAAAAAACCCACCCACCCTCCGCACTGGAGGTGGATCCCACCTTGTTTTATTTGCATGCACTGGCAGGAAATGCCGGGCCAGTCCTAGGGGCGGCAGCAGGGCTCCTGGCCACTCATTGTTGGCTGCTCAAGCAGCACGCATACAGGCACCAGCAGGGCTCCCTTCAAGAGTAGCATTTGGGCATTCAAGATGACAGGAAGGGGTGCTCGGTCCCTCTGATAGGCTTGGGTGGGCAGGTCCTGAGACCCGCGATCCCTTCAGGGTTAAACCTCCTGGCCGCTGACCATAGGCTGCACAAGTCATGTCCTGTTCTGGGCATAAAAGCCCCAGTTGCGGGGTGGCCTCTCCCCCTGCGGGTCCCCCGTGCCTTGGGGGGTCGGGATGGGGGTAAACATTCTGACGACTTGCTGCACACACAGTCTCTCGGTTACTGGCCACCAGTTAAAGCTCCGGCGTCTCTTGCCCGTTATCTATGTGTTAGAGTTTCGGCATCTCTTGCCCGTTACACATGCATTACAAGATCCGGTGTTTCTTGCCCATTACTTTGCGTCATTAAATCGGCGTCTCTTGCTCGTGACGCTATGGAGAAGTTCTCCATTATAGTGGTGCTACGTTGTTAGCACTGTGTACTTTGATAATAGCTACATATATTATTGTTGCCTTTACTTGTGTATCATTCAAGGTGTTTCTGGGGCCCCATAGCAATTCCTGTAAATCCAGAACATTGTATTTGTTGTTTCAAGTTGCGGCTGGAATAAGCGCTCGGCGAAGAAGGCTGAAGCATACCCAAAATCTGTGTTCCTGTGTCCCTCAACTTCTCTGGGCCAACGTATTCTAGTCACGTGGTACCATCCTTCCAATAAAAACTGGAGGTCGTAACTTCTAAGGATCGTCTACGCCATCTTAACTTTGGGCTTGTATTCAACTTCTCGCTAATCATATACAAGAATAAAAGGTATGCATTTCAATAAAAAAATATCTTACCTATTTTGTGGTGAAATTTGAATGGAAGCAGACGATGCGATTGCATTACGTATGCTAAATAATGCTATATTTTTATGGGGTATATGAATTCCATTGCTGTATTGTCATGATTGTGTGGGTGTTTGTTTGAACCAATCTACCATTTTTAGTACCCATACTATTTTGAAATTAATTTCTTTGATCAACATTATATTCTTGGAACACTAACATTATATCATTAGGAAATGGTAAACAAATTTTGGGTTATGATCTACGTGTAGGTGCAAGTACATGTACATGTACATGTACACTGTAGGCCTATTTCCCAAGATAATTGCAGGAAGTCTTTTTTTCATTATTTTTTTCTGTAGTTTTGTTCTGATAATGATCATGAACATGTAAAATGCTAATATTTCATCTTTGTAATCAAATCTAAAATAAAATAAATAACACTGACAAAATTCGTATGAACGTTTGCCTCTGTACGTGTAAATCTGATACTAAACAAATGCAATGGGCCGAGCAGGCCAGGGCGTAGGAAAATGAATACAAACTAACAACCCTCACACACTGGGCAACAAGACTCCCAAATTTAGTATTGAAATCACACAAAGCAAATAAGTATTTACAATGATATCGAGAAGGCAAATTCACAAAAGAAGATAAATTACAAAATTGGGTCACACAAGTAATAAGACCAGTGCAGGTGCAGGGCTGGAGGAGAAGGCACGGCTAAGGCAAAGAAACCCAAATGTAAAAGTGGCTACAAAAATTTTTAAAAATGAAGAATGACCAGCGCCCCAATGTGCGAAGCAGTTTGATGTACATGTACCTGTAGAGTTCACCCAACCAAAAAGGTATTAAAAGAATTTGAAAGGTGTGCGCGGTATGCCCACAGGTAGAGCTCAGGTATTAACTGTTACACTAACATGGACATAATGGTCCCCCGAAAAAATACACCAACTGAGTACGTCCTACGGTAGTGACCAAATTAGTGAATTATTAAGGTACATGTAATTAAGTAACTCTTAATTACATGTAATTAAGTAACTCTTACATGTATATCAGATACTTCACAATCAATCAGTAAAAAGAGAACTGAAAATTTCATGCAATTTCTTGTATCTTACGAAACGTACTCGTAATCACATACATGTGCCGTTCTCGGGCTGTTTCAATCACAACATTTTTGTGTGTGTCCATACTGCCATAGATAAACTACAGGAAAGAAGATGCATAGGCTAGGCCTACATACATGTACATGTACCAGTATTTTCGAGTATGAAAGTAGTCATAACTTTGTTAATACTAAAACCATGGGGTTGAATGGTGTATCAAATGAAAGGTCTTGCTATTATATGCTTTATCCAATGGGGTTATTTTCTGGGCTAATTTTAAATATCTCAAAATTTTGTAACATCCCTACGACCCTAGTCCTACATGAAGGTGGGCCTACCTTAGTCATACCGACTCCAGCCACAAAAACTCTTCTCTTTCCAGTCATTTTGTCTTCTGTAGTCAATCCCTTTCCAGTCAACGTGGTCAAGCTAGACGTTTTGCATATGATATATGCAGGGGTGGGCGCTGGGCTGACACAGTGACACTGACATGGACTCGTCCAGGGTCTTATGTTTTTGGACCGCTGATCTCAAAATGTTTCAGACGGACGTGAAATCTTGTCGAATTAACCAGACGCCCTCTGCTGGTCATTGGTAGTTAAGTTCCATAAGTTGTAAAATCTCCAGCTCCGAGCGGAACAAAAGAGGGCGGCTTTTTTTGGTACGTCGCACGCGCCATGCGCCAGGAAAGTATTATGCGTGTACATGTACATGTACATGTACGTACACGTACATGTACGTTCCCGGCGTTCGGACCACGAACAACAAATCGAACTGTTCGTGAACGTACGAGAGCTGCCCGTGAACGTACGAGAGCTGCCCGAACTGTGCCACAGGGCCTGAGGTGGCGCTATTTGGGCCAACTGATCACTGCACTGCATGCAAAAGGGGGTGATACTGAAAAAAAATTATCAACGTACATGTACATGTACGTTGCGTCTACTACGGCCTAATCTGTCGCGTGACAGAGCAAAACAAAATGGCTTCGCGGTCTGTTTCCAGATCAATTGCTTTGTTGGCCATTTTCGGCCATATACATGCCCTAACTACACCAGAAAGTGCTTTCCAAAACGTGCTAGAGGACGTATCATCTTGTAAAGAATCATGTGAGCGTACATTTTCAGAACATACTTATCCAGAGGTGAGAAATTTGCTTATTACCAGTGAGTGTAAACACTAACGTTACCCTGTATGAGTTGACATCAGATATAAATTTACATGTATGTATCGATACATTCATTAGGCCTCCAAAATGATTGTCGTACATGTAGTTACTTCCTTGGTTAACATGGTTACTTGATCTTCTCCAATGGAGGTTTCTCAAATTATTCTTTTGAGTTTTGTACATGTAGGCCTCGGCTATTGTTTGTTAAAGAAATGTGTCCCAAGATCATGAAGATTAGGCCATTCCTAGGTCATATACAGTAAGCTTTGTTTTTTCCAGACACTTTTTGTACTTGGTCTCCACAAGATCATATTTCCAGCAGTCGTGGTGGTGATTGATGTCGTTAAGTACCATTGATTCAGTGAAATACAGTACATGTAGCAAACATTGGTGAGGAAAAGTTGGCATTCCCCATGGTCGGTTCCAAATCCCTGCAAATGGATGGGCCAATCACATCATTCAACACAACAGGTTTTTACTACAGTACCCCATTCATACATGTACACCAGGATGAGGCGTTCAAAGATGGCTAGGCAAATAATTATTTTGTAACTTGTGTTGGGTCACAAAGTGCCTTTTGCTTAGAAATAATTAAAAAAATGTTTATTAAATTTTTCGGGGCAGCTCTCAAGGCACATGGCGCTGGATGCAAATTGTATGACTTTTATTCTCAAGATCTTACATTTTGGTTTTTTGTTTAAGATAACTTGATCAAATAAAAGAAAATGGATTGAAAAAATTTCTATATATATAGAGGCACTACTCAGCACCCTGTGCACAAGCCTTACATTCATGTACATGTACATCTACCATGTCTACAGTACATATTGTATGAGACTTGGTCTGGACATGACTCCAACATGAGTGTCACCATAGAGGGATCCTAATACGACGCTTTTAGCGTTGATCTGCGCACTTCCGCGTTTGACAACGAGGCTGTATGTGTCAGTTTCAATTCTTAATAAGAACAGATGATTGAAAGTAAGGAGTCAAGACACAAATACATAAAAGTATGTTAAATTCAGACTTTTCAGGCTACAAATTTTTGTGGAAGAGTCTTTCAGGATGACCCGACAAGTAAAATCAAAAGAAAAAATAACAGCAATTGACCGCAAACTCACTTACCTGCGATGGTCGTGTATCTTGTGCAGTGGGCGTACTTTAAACTGAAGTGGTGTCACACTTACGAACCGGATACTGCATGTACTGTGTCGACTGTGGTGGGTGCGCGCTATGAAGTTCAACACAGAGAACCTCGGTTGCGATGCAGATATGCGCAGAAGGCGCTAATGTTGGAAACAAACTGGAAGGTGTACCTGGTATGCTCCAGTGCACTTGGAGAGTTGGTACATGTTCATACAACAGTCACACATACTGTACACATAATGAACAGCCATTTTGTTTCCAAAATTTGAGGCTGGCACTATGCTTTCCATATTCACAACTCTGGGGGGGATATAGCGTAAAGTCAAGAATTTTCTGCTTTCTGGAAGTCAAATTCTGCTTTCTTCTGCTTTCTAAATTTTGTGTACATAACTGTATGTGATTGTACATATGTAGGCCTACATTTACCGTACATCTACAGGTATCTTTGGCATAATGATATACATGTATGTAGGGCCTACGCTCACCACGTCACTGTGATCTTGGCCTGGTCCCCGTCCCTATTGATTTATTCATAAGCAGTGAGACGTCTGAGCACTACATGTATGTAGGAACGGGGACCTGTGTGATCTCCACAGTGCGGAGCCAGAAGAAATCAATACCGAATTCTGCGATATCGCAAAGGCAAAACAGGAGGGGAAATGCTACCAAATGTTACTTTCAAAGTGAGTTAAACAGTGAAAATGAGTTTCCTAATTTGGGTTTCATATTTATTTGATTAATTGTGCAGAAATGATCAAAAAAGATTTATTTGTTTTATTATTTGTTTACGAGAATTGCGTTTTCCGCTTTCTACCCCCAATTCTGCAATTTTTGCAGATATTCTGCAAAGCGGAAAATTCTTGACTCTAATATAGCGCCACCAATGTTGGGTGTGTCTCATTTTCTTTGTGAACCAAGTATTAACCCATCACACGTGGTCGGTTTAGGTCAGCTAACCCACTGATATATGTGTACATGATATTTGTACTGTAGAAACGGCCATCCATGTGTGGGTGTGCAGGCATGACATACCGGTACATTTAGTGTGGACCTCAGCACAAAAGAAGTCCACATCATGTCGGGTGCAATGGCGTCGTGTGGACTCACACATGTCCACACAATGTTCCAGTCCACATGTCCACTCAATGTTCGAGTTCACATGTCTACACAATGTTCGAGTCCACATGTCCGACACAATGTTCGATTCCACATGTCCGACACAATTCCCCCCCTCTCTGAAAAACAGTTTCAGAGGCATTTTGGGGTCAATGTTATCTGTGGTAAAATGAAGAGGAACAGTCTGGGAAATCATCATCAAAAATCAAGCTCGAAGGAGCTAGTTGGAGAAAAAGGAGCATTTTCCTCAAGTTTCCTTAACCACAGGAGAACAAAAGAATGTCCACACTTTGTATGTAAAATGTCTGGATGTGTGTGTAGTCATTGCATACGTTTCACATACATGTACACAATGCACTGTAGTCTCACAGCATCACATGTGCACAGCTCCAACCATAGCATTAGCGTTGGCTGGCCATGCTATGGTGGCACCTGCTTGGTTATCAATTTTGAACTGTGTTCCAGACCGCTGGTTGAAGTAATGCACCCAACTACTTGTTTTGCAACAGAAAATGCTATTGTGCAAAACCATTTCATCTTTCATCACATTTGAAAACTCGGTCAAAAACAGTAATGTTGAACCTATGGATTTCCTTCAAACAGCTGACAAAAGATTTATAAGGCCTTTGATGATACACTCGAGGAACAAAAAAGAAATGTTAAAAGAGCGTTTCCACCATAGGTGGCAGCAAGTCATTTTTTGCAAGTCAAAGTCAAGTCACAAGTCAAAGCTGGTATTTACAAGTCACAAGTCACAAAAATAGCAACTCGAGTCCAAGTCACATGACTCAAGTCAGCAACTCTGGTTTCCACAAAAGATATAATTTTTGTTGATGGATGTTATGGGTGTCACTCAAGACATAATTACACGGTGTGTGTATTTTGCTCACATGTTCGCATGCAGGATTCCTTGTACCATTATGAAATCGATAGAAAAATTCTGTCCCTGAATTGTCTGGAGAGAGCTGGCTCATGTACGTATTTGAGATACCGGTAGAACATAAACAGAAATGTTTGCTGTAGATAAAAATGTGGGAATTGTAATTTCAAATGTGATTTTTCTCTCTGTTAGCGATTTTGCTCTCTTTTTTTAAAAAATGAAAGTGGCTTACAGACCACTCTGCTCATGTCCCCCAACTCCTCTTCTCTTTTCCAAAGTTCTGTGCATGAACATGTACGGTGTCTGCATGGTTGGCCGTGTATTACGGTACATGTACATGTACATGTAGAGGGCTGGGTATACATGTACATGTACAAGCATTGATCAATGAGAATGCTCATCAGGTACATGTACTTACATGTACATGTATGTTTGCTGTTCCAAAATGACCTTGGACACACATTTTAAATGTACATGTACATGTATGTAATATTGTCCTAAACACGTTCGGAAAAGATGCTCTGCAAGAATACCCCTCCCGTATGTAATGTACATACATGTAATATCCACTCACTAAATAATAGTATACATGTATGTACAGTATGGCTATCCATGAACGTGATGTGTAAATCTTAACACTTCTAAATCTAGCAGATTCAAACAGCATTGATGAAATTCAGTCAAATATTAGTTGTAAAGGTTTGCGGTAGCACCATACAAGGATATCTCTTTTATGAGTATGTGTAATTTTGAAAAGAACCAGAGGTTACTGCCCCTCACCATGAAAAGCTTCAAAGCTCATCAGTCAAATACTGTTGATCTGAAACCTTGCACTGTTCATGTACATGTACAGTAGGCCTATTTACCAAAAAAACCTGTACTTGTTATACCGTGGCAATACGTATAGATTGAAAGTTTTTCGTGGCCAAGAATTGATCATGTGATATGACACAAACATGTATGTGCTAGACTGCAAGAACGTCAGCCATATCAGCAATGTTTGCCATGGTGGTGGTACATGAGTGATGTACCCCACGGGGAACATTACCTTTATCATTCATATGGTTGAAATAGGGTATTTTGAGCTCAACCCAAAGTGTGCTTTGGTTAAAGCTCTTCCTCAGTTGCATGTACATGTAAAAAGGTGCCAGAGGGAAAAAAGATCAAAATATGCCTCCCCTGAGAATGCACAATGTTGGATGTTACTGTTCTTTTTCTACTCTGACTACCAGTAACGTGTCAGCTTGAAAATGCGAATGTTTTAGATATCCAGAACACACCATATTCTTTCATGACAGAGTAACCATCTGCCAGCATGTCAGCGGGGATGTCGTCTTTTCTCCATTATGGAGTTTGCAGAGGAAGATACTCAAGATTTCAACACCACCAAAGAAATGTGCAGTCAAGGTCAGTAAGAATACATACATGTACCCTGTAAATTATTATTTACCAAATGAAAACTTTTTAAGTCTTTGGTTATTACATGAGCATTTACTACCGGTATTACCCTCAGGGCTTCATTTTAAAGGAGCGTGATCGCGCTCGCGCTCCTTAATGTTTTCCAAGGAGAGCAAAAAAAAGCGCTCCTTAAAAAGTTAAGGCGTGCATGTTTTTTTCAAACCAGCAAATCTTGATTTATACAAATTACAATTCTTGATGAAAATACATGTACACAAGTGTATACATGTAAATGCTCTTAACTCCTAATTTTGATTTAATTTGGAAAGGTACTATGAATGTCGTGCATGGAATTTTCTAGTACTACACGTGACAGTGTTTTCAGTATTGTCAAAAGTCCATCAAAATTCTTGAACGTCATCAGAATTCTGTCAAGTATGATGTTCGTAACAAACATGTTGTACTCGTATATTTTTGATGCAGCGAACTTGAAGATTATTTTCGGTGGTTGAAAGGCGTGAGACCTACGTGTACCTACATGCATTGATGGCCAACCAAATGTCCACCAAATGTACACAGTCTGCCTAATTATCCCCAAATAATAATTTTTATTAATCTGAAAGTGCAAGTTTTTGTTTTAAATGACCAAAGTCACTCTTAGAAGTTTTGTAAAGTTGCATGTGGAGTAGCATTTTGGTTAATTTTTGGAAGAACATTTCATGTGTACCAGGTAGATGGCTCTTGAATCCTTCAAAATATCTATAAACAATGATAGACCTCTAAACTGATGCTGTCACACTTTTTTTTTCAAAGCGGCACTTTCCTATGGAGCAATTGGAGGCTCGTGGTCCACTGAACACTATACATGTAGGAAAGCATGTACATGTGCACTCTCATCAGTACAGAGGTCTATTGAGTTCACCATGCTCAATTGAGGTTAGAAATCACTGATTGAGTACCAGTATAATCTTTTCTTTGTTTATTCTGTCAGCTTGTGGTGAGGCATACAAAGATGGTGGGCAGCTGTACGCTTGCCAACTTGGCTGCCAAAATGAAGTTCCATTTGCTTTGCAGAAACAGCAAGAGGTAAGTAGTAGGTCAATATTAGGCCCGCATTAAACATCAAACTTCTTCTGTGTCTAATCTGTGGTGTTAAAACAAAATGGTGGTGCCCTTTTAATATTAGCGAGTCATGCGATTTTCCTTCCAAACCACAAGAGGCCTATGCATCAACCTTTCCCTTTAAAACTATTGAGTGGAAGCTATTGATGTAGCAATATTCCTTGTGAGGCCTAAGTCCTCCTGGCAGGCATTTTATCAGAATGTGGTATCCGTCAATTGCTGCCCAACAGTAAGGAAACATTTCCATGTCTAATATTTTTCTCATGAACTCCTTGTCATGTTTCAGGAACTATTTGGGAACTGACCTATCCCACATGTTTCTCATGATGGGTTATAATGGGTTATATATGA